CAGATTCAGGGGTTTAAAACCTGTTCTGGTTCCTTTGCGTTTTCTTCTTTCCTGTTACAATTATGCAACACTAGGTCCCCTACCAGCAAGTGTGCTTTTCTTAAATATTTAGCAGAAAAAATTCATTGAAGTAGAAAATGTGTATACTCAATCTGTAACTCATCAAGGTGTACCCACGAAAATAAGTTCAATATTTGCTAGCAGCTAGGGAAAAAACTGGAAAAAAGCTGTAAAATATACTAAATTTTTTAAGTCTGAGGGCCATAATTCCATCAAATATTGTTCAAGTGAATTGCACTGTAAACTTGATCTGTAACTCATCAAGGTAAACTCAAATACCAAATCAGCTCAATATCTGCAAGCAGATATTGTGTTTTGAAAGAATTTTAAAGAAATTTCTATTTGTGGAAATCAAAAACTGATACACAGACCAATGTTTATTAGTATAGCCTACTTCTGTACCAAGTTTTATTAAAATTGGACCAAAACTGCAGGAGGAGTAGTGTTTTGAAAAAAAAAAATTGTTTACAGACAGACATACAGAAGGATGGATACCTTACCAATTGCATAAGCTCTTCTGGTCTCTGACCAGTGGAGCTTAAAGCTTGAAAACTATTTGGACTTATCCACATACAGAGTGCAAAAGTCCCTCTGGCATTTGTTTGTACATGTTGTAGGGGACTAAAGGGGTTAAATGATACAGCTTTTAAAAGACTAAAAATAAGTGTAACATGATATATCATGATATACTGAATCTGTATCATGATATGCATCATGATATTTCAACTTTCATAATTTAATACAAATTGAAATGCGAAACTTTATCATAATGTGAAAGCTAGGATAAAAGTTGTACATTATTTCATCAAGTTCACAAATACATTATATGTAAAATTTATAAAGCGTTGAACACAATAAAATGCAGCATAAAATTTGTTTGCTAATGGTAGGTTCATTTACTTAAAGGAAATAAATTGCTTTAAATGTATGTCATACATGTATATTGTGATACTCAGACATACAGTTTTTGTATCTAAATAGGATACAATTTTTTTCTGTACTGCAGTATACTGGCCAGTACATCCCTACTGATTTATATTAGTTAATTTAACAAGAAATCATGACTGCTGTGATAATCTAACCTAGGTGTACCAGGCAATATCTATGTACACTTCACAGTGCCCCCCCCCCCCCCCTTTATATTTTTGCCAGTATATAAATGTACTGTATTATAGAAAACAAAGCTGCTTTCCAGTTGTGCCCCCCTCAATAGAATTGTGCCATTATATACTGTGGAATCATCATTGTTTGTGGGGGATCGATATTTGTGGATTTCATGGGGTATTGTTCTTACCTACGAATTAACGTCCCCATGAACATTGAAACACACATGCATTTAGTACATTTAATTTATTTATCTTTATAAAATATGAAAAGTTACCCACAGAATTACGTCCCCATCAACCAGTCAAATTTTGGTTATCCATGAACATTATCCCCACAAACAATGATGATACAATTAATTTTTTTAAAAAACCTAATTTGAGATTGAACCCCCTCAAAAAACATCTGATGGCTTATTTCAATATTATTTTTGGTAGGTTGTGCCCCCCTTCCTAAACTGAAATTGCTCCCTATGGACCTGAAAGTCGTGAAAAATAACCTTAACTTTCGCTGGAAGAAGGAAAATTTGGTTCTAAATTTGTATTAAAATACATGTATATATATTATTTTGATTTAAAAAAAAAAAAAATACAAAAATAACTGAACAAACTCAAAGCTATATATATTAAGATTTTTTCACAGTGACTGGTTTGATCCACCCCTTTATACTGTTAAATGCCTCAATGTAAAAGTTTTTGATCCACATGTGACAGCTGCACCCTTTCTCTGTTAAACCACAAAAATCAATGGCCTGCTGTTCCTAACATGTCTTTGTACAATCTAATTAGTTTAATGTAAATAATAGTATTCTCATTCATTGTACTTATTTGGGCCGCTTACACATATCATTTGGAAGACTGTATAATTATATATATGTTAATTAGAGAAGAACGTACCTCTTAAATATTCATTCATGTATTAAAAAAAAATCAACAAGTGGCTTCATAGGGGAACAAATTTTTCTTCATTTCATATACATGTAAATTTATTCTCCATGTCAGGAAGAAGCATGAATGGAGATTTGAGGTCCTACATCATAAATGAATGGAAAATGTGATTGTTTCATGTCCAATAAAACATACGATGGCCTTTTAACATGTTCAATGACTCTTGTGACATAAAAGTAACAGATTTCATGGTAATGAATGAAATTTAAGAAAAATGTCATCCTGAGAGAATATTTACCAAAAGAAATTTCCAATTCCAAATATTTCGTTAACAATACCTAAATACTGATCTACAAGGCACCTGAGTTGTTTTTGGAAATGTGACAACAGAAGAAACATGTATTAGTCCTCTGCATTAATTTTTTGTATTTTAAAACACAGCTTTGTTTGCAACTTCAAGACTGACTGTTTACAAAAAAGAAAAAAGAAAATAAAACTACACAAACCTACAATCTACTGAAAAAGCTGAAGAGGAAGGGCATGCAGCTTCTTTGTGCTTGCATAATCTGTAAGCTAAAATCAAATCTTCTAAAAAGATAGCCTACACTTTCACAGCTGCTTGTGAAGGGATCAGAAACAACACCAACTGTGCACACTGTTAAATTCCAGTTCTTGTGAAGGTTTTTTGTGCAGGAAACATATCATAAAACCTTGACATTGTGAAAATGTTTCAATGCTTAATATCTTTAGTAACAAGAAGCCCATGTGCCACAATGCTCACCTAATTTGCTATGGCTCTTAAGTTCTTCATCAGCAGTTTTTTTAAATCACATATTGTGCCCCCCTACCCCCTGGTCATGATCATGATTTAAACAAACTTGAATCTACACTACCTGAGACTGCTTCCATATAAATATGCCTATAATTATGGCTTTGCCATTTCTTGGAAGAAGATTTTTAAATATTTTTTTTCTATATATTCTAGGGATGTCAACGAATAGTCGACTATTCGACCATCAGTCGAATAGACCGACGATCGAATAATGAAACGACATTCGAATAAATAAATTTCAATAAAGAGTGATAAAGAGATGGAATTCTCATCCTAAAATTGAGAAACCAGCCGTCTTTCCTCAGACACAGTCAATAAGATAATTTTCCTCATTAAAAACTGCTGGTTTTATATGTAGAAAGTACAGTAATTAGAAATGCTTCACTTCCGCGAGTATTATTTGTCAATTAATGTGTTGTTTTTGTAATAAAATTATCTCGTTATACTGCACTTTCTTTGTAAAATTATTAATTGGACTTGATCTCATACCATGTACCCATTATAGCCGTGACATGTTTTGACACTAAGATAATTATTATAAAATAAATATTCTTTTATATATTTCAAAGACATTTTGATAGTTGGTACAAAAAGTATATTCAAATATTTAACAATACAACATTATCACAGATTTATCGTGTGTGTCCACCCCCCACCCCCCATCATTTTAATAAGCTTTAAAAAATATATCATACTCTCATTTTTATGCTTCCTAAAACAAACGACTTTACAGATCGATTTATGAACATGATTGACGGGGAAATCATACATTTTAGGTCCATGTAAACATCTGTGTGTAACATTTGATGTTACTTTTTAATAAATTTAAGAAAAGGGGACTTCGGGTTAAATATGTCATGTACCAGTGAAGTTTGAAATAAAATTTTAGTTTCCGAAAAAAGTTTCGAATATATTCGACTATCGTTCGAATAATGCAATCGAATATTCGACTACAGAAAATAAATATTTTGACATCCCTAATATATTCCCATGTTAAACATTGATCCTTTATTGTGGCTCCACCCTACCCCAGGGGGGTATGATCTGAACAAACTTGAATTTACACCCACCCTACCTTGAATCCTCTTCAACGGGTGTGGTTGAAATTGACCCAGTGGTTCTTAAAGATGAAAATGTGAAAAGATTAACAACAACAACAAAGACCGACAAAGGACAAATTTTGATCAGAAAAGCTCAATTAAGCCTTAATCTCAGGTGAGCTAAAAAGCTGGAGGATAGAAGTGATTAGAACATGATATCCAGAGCTGATGAACATGATGAAAGGAAAGTGAGGAGAAGGTCCAGGGCCCACTGGAAAACATTGAAATGATTGCAAGTCAATCAATTGCTGTAAGGACTTTTTCTCATTACAATAGTAAACAATGAAGATTGACAGCTTATAAAAATTCTGTTTTTTCAAATTTTTGGCAGAGGAAAACAGAAATCCAAAGAATGAAAAGAGAAATTGTAAGGTGTATTTTAGATGCAGAAACCATAAGGCTTATCAAAATCATAAGGGTTTGCAGCTTTGCAAGTCTCTCATCTGGGCAAGCAGGTACATTTTCCTTGTATTTCATTGTCCTGGAATTTACCTCACCCATCTTCTGCTAATGTCATGTACCAACACATGTTAAAAAGTGTTATTTGTGCATAAAAAGTATCATTTTTGAACACAAATTCTACATATTAACTGTATAGGAAGTTGTTGATTTTTTTTTCAAAGAAAAGCAAAATTATACGATTCACTTTTAGATCCAAAATCAAGAAACAACTTTGTACCAATATCTATTTTTGTCAATTTACTATTCAACAGAATCTCAAAACAATAAAGCACTGGCCTGCTTTAGAAATCAAAAATTCATTCATTTAAATTTCAAATTTGTTAAATTTTTGGCCTGTGCAAAATTTAATCAAGTTTTGATGAATTGTATCACTGTCACTTAATAAATGTCATGATTTACCACGTAGGAGTTAAGATCTCCAGCTACGAATATTCAATTTTTTGACTTTGGAAAAAAATATTCTTTGGGCTGATAATAGTAAAGTAAAAGTTTAAGTAATGGGTAAAACAAATTGAAACACAAGACATCTTTTATCCAGAATAAACTTCTACTTACTTAAAATCTTTTGGCAATGCGATTTGGTCCAGCACCTATTCTTTACTTCCTTGGTAACCTCCCCTGATGCTGTGACAACCGCTGTGCTGGTACAGTTACTTGGACACACATCCACACATTCTTTGGCAATTCTGTTCCTTTTAAAATAGTGCTCACTCATTCCCTGAACACCGACAGCTATTTTGGTCCAGTCAATGGTATCAATATAACAAAGCATAGGATTCTTTTCAAATCTGACTGCTCCGCGTTCTATGGTAGTCAGACCAATCAAACCCAGCTCCTCTAAGTCCATCAATTCAAACACCACCAAAGCAAAATTGAAGAAAAGCTTGTGACCGCGAATTATGGACAGGTTGGGAAATATCCGTCTGAGACTTTTTAATCCATAGACACGGTAAAGAAGAAAGAATTCTGTGATCTCCACTAGATCAGGAAAGTACAGATTTTCATACTGTTGATGTGAGGCCCCCTCAATCAGAAGAATTTTCAAGTTCCCCTCGATAACAGTACAGTTTTCTAGTTCAGCAAATGCATTCACATCATTTCGAATATCAACATCTTCACATATCATACCTGCAAAAAAAACAAAAAAACAACATTGTTCTTTTAAATGTAAAAACTGTTGACAAACATCTAAAACTGCAGAAATACACCATTCTGTCAGTTAAATGAAGTTACACACACCATCTCTCAATAGCGTTAGTCATATAGATACAGATATGCTATAAAAAATGTCTGTGATAGGCAATGTAACACTGAATATCTAAATGAAAAAGTGTTCAATCATAATTCAGAATCTCAAATTGCTTTCTCATTTACAATATGTTTTCCGTACAAAATATTTACCCTTCTAAAGAAGATGTAATAGATTCATGCTACCTCGACAAAGCAAATTACAGACATTTTTCATACTAGTGTAAGACCAATTTTTGGAAGAGATAAAAAGAAATATAGTACACTACATATAGATTGTGCTGTCACCATTTCTTCATGACCATTTACCGATCTTTTGATGTATGAATTGATGTAATTTTTTATTTTTTGGTTGGTTGGGGAGGGGGAGGGGGGAGGGAGATTTCTGTAAAGGTGTTAAGGGATACTAAATTTTTTAAATGATTTTTTTATCTGATACCTGGCAGATTTAAATTCTCTCTTATCTTTATGGCTTTGTACCTAATGCAAGATTCATGCACCAAGCATGATGTCAACGCAAGAAAAACAAGAATGGGCCAAGGTCAAATACCTTTAATCGCCTATTGACCTTGAAATACACTGAACACGTTTTTTTCTAAACATAGAAGAGGAAAACACACAGCTCCAAACATGTATAAGATAATGAAAAATGAACAAAATGACTTCATTATGTGAAAACTTTTATCTTTTTACTAACTCAGAAATGTCTGTATTAGGGACATCAAACAGTTTACAAACTATCTGCATCGTTCTGAACTTCAAATCAGAATAAAGAACTATATACGGTAAGGGCGTTTTCCTGCCCCCATAATAGTCAAATTTTGAAAATCTCTTGAAATGAGAAAAAGTGCATATATTGTATAAAATAACCCAAATTAAGACAATATATTATGAAATTGGAAAAATTAGTTGGCTTTTCTTGTCTCTGTGACGTCACAAACTATTTGGATTTCCGTTATTTTTAAAATAGAGGCCAAAATGCACAGAGTTTGTTCAATTTTGACTATAGTATTTATAGAGCGCAAGCTTGCTCAGGTACCATATTCACATATTTCATTGATATTATCATTCTACACATTATATCAAAAGATCTAGTCTGAGCAGACCTGCGCTCGATAATTTCCAATCAAAATACCGACGTAAAATACGCTATTTTCTCTCAAAATCATTGCAATTTGAAATTTACGTCATTTTATTGACGTCATATCTTACTAATGATGTCATAGTTGATGAAAATATTTAATGCTATGAAGTCTGCAAATATCCACCTGGTTTAGAACATAATTAAAGATTTCTCCATCAAAGTTTTATTTTGGGGGCAGATACTGGCCACTACAGAATATAGTCCTTTTGACACACATAGACGAGTCATAAACATACTTGACATAGCTTCTGTTCCAAAATATTCTGTGGCACATATTATGATGTCCCATAGTAAAAATGATGTCAAAATGTTAAAATGACATCTGTTCACAATTTAAAAATGACATGAATACCTATATGTAGAAGATGCAACAGAATTGGATGTTCTACAGGAGCAAATGGCAGTTATAAAGTTTAATTTATGTAAAACTTGATAAACTATTTAAAGTTTATGGCCATAAAGGACTTGCCAAAACTTCAACTAGTAAGTGGATGAAACATTTCAGCTATGGAAGGGTAAAGTCCACAATGATGCTCATTCTGGGTGCTCAATGAACTTGGGTATGGAAAGCAATGAGCAACTCTAGTGCAGAGCAACTTTTAAAGAAAGGTTACTGATCAAGTCACAGTTAACCAAATATCTGAAGATCTCGTTATGTCCTATGGCCCTAATCAAGAGATTTTTGACCTGTGCACTTGGAAAAAGAAAAAAGAGACAAAAACCAAAATTTGAATTGTTTTATGCAAGTTAATCAACTAGTCTGCAAACTTGCTGACCACCCCTTGTACATTCAGACAGAAAAGTAAGGTGTTTAGAGTATGCAAAAATTTATCATTTCAGAGATATATTTCACTTAAAGTGGGCAAACCCTAATTAGCATGTGAATGAGATAAGATTATGTGTCAATCTAAAAACAACTCATATAATTCACAATTTATCAATTAATTTATGTGATTTATATTCAGAAGGAAATGGTTTTGAAGCAAAGTCTAATTTATTAGAGTAAAATTATATGCTTAATAATATATTGCAGCAGTAATTCTCATATACCATGTGCTATGCATCTATGCATGTTCAACATGTATGTGCAACATGCATTTATTGTTTTTTGGAGGGGAGGGGATGAAAGATGACAAATTATTCTTGTGTGTTAACAATAAAATCAATTTGGGCTGTAATAGAATTAAAGCTTAATTAGGAGAGAAAGGTTCCCTGAAAAAGAGAATTTCAGTGTATCCCCAAGGTAAATTCATATCACTGAAACACTGCCACAGTATATATAAGAATGAAAAGGGTTTAAATTCTGCATGCAGCCAAATATTAAATTTCCTTTCACCAATCTTAAAATCAAATGCCAGGAATGCAAGAATTTTGCTGACAACTTTTAAGTATAATCGGAATGTACATCACAATAAAAGTGTAAATATATAAAAATGCAACAAAATAACTCCATTGAAAGATAGCAGATCAAGTTTTCAGAATTATCATAACTAGTCTTGATAAACAACATTTTGTGTACATAGCACTAACTACCAAGGACAACTTGACATATACCAACTAGCAGTGAATGTCACCTTGAAAAAAACAAACTCAGACATCTTGCACCAAAACACTTTATTATTGATTGCTTTAAATTTTCATTAGCAAACATCAAACTGCTCTAAAAATATATCATACAATTAACTTTGCTCTGGTTTTTCAAATGATCACACGACCACAACTCTTGTGAGCAGGCATTCAGTCAACATATTTTTCCATTCACTAAAATAAATGCTGGTGACTATGTACTTCATAAACCATGCGAGGAATTCTATTCATTGTTCATGGCTAAGTTAGCATGTAAATATGTGGGGTACAAAACCTTAACTTCCATTCTATAAAACATAACTCACAAACCTGAGATAAACTGATTGTATTACTGAGAATGAATTTCTTTCAAAATGAATTAAAATTAAAATATTCTCTTCAATATGAATATTCAAGGAAAAGCTTGTGAATTCTTGTACATCTTGCCCAGGTAAAATCTGGATTTAACAATTTGATGTTATCACATTTACTCAGTAATCATAAATATATTAAGTTCAGAATCCCTTTTTTAAGTACTATAAAATATAAATATAAAACTTCATCCTAATGGCACAATGATGGAGTGTGGGGTTAAATAGAAAGTATGACAATATAATCAAATGTCCTCATGTGTTGAAAATAAATCTCCCATAAAGTGTGCAACATTTGACAAAAAATTCAAGTTAGATGACTCTTGTGATTACAAATTCCAGCCACATGTCATTATTTTCCAGTTGGATTTATCTGGCAATAAGACATGATCCCACAAAACCCATGGATTCCATGTTTTAAACATTAAAAGAGGCATAATTTCTCTTATTTCAGATGTAATTATATATATCTTAATGAAAAGTACATGAATGTGATAAAACCTTCATTTCAATATAACATGTATACATGCAAAAAAAATGGACCTTTAGACATATCCATGCCTTTTTACAGAAATCTTGATCTAACATGCCACTAATGACAAGAAAATTAAACACAATAAGATTTTGAATGATTTGATCATTGCATGACCTGATTCACCATTTCTTTCTTGAATCAGTTCTCTGATATATACATACCAGGTACCTTTAAGCTTGCTCAACTTTAGGTGTACATTAAATTCTGGTATTTTTGAAGTTACTACATAAATATTTACTTCATCTATTGGATCAGCCTTCACAGTTTTTTTACAGCCTGCAATTTAATTAATTGGATTCCACATACAATTAACCACCTGCAAATCTTCCTCTTAATGATAAAATCCAGAATGTATCAAGGTTGCACATACAGTATGAATTCAGAGAAACAAAATTACCATGAACTAAATAACTATACAGTATTAACTGGTCTGCTTTCCATTATAATTTTTTTTTTAAGGAAGTGTTTCTTTTGCATCATGAATAGTTTTGTTGTAAAACAATTTTTATCTCTTGGTTAATTGGAAGTCACATTATTTTTAAAAACATTATTTAAAACAATTGTGCAAGATATTTTCCTCTACCTCTATTCTTTATTGCAATTTCTTGGAAAATTTAAATTTATTAATGCATTTCTAGAAAAAGTACATAATTATACAACAAGAGATGTTTGTGAAACACTTTAGCCCCCTCCCCCCAATAGCTGGAATTTTTCCAAGTCCAAGGGGCATAACTCTGTCAACAAGAGGTACTTTGGCCTATTGTGGCCCCGCCCTACCCCGGGGGCCATGATTTGAACAATTTAGAATCTACACTACCCAAGGATGCTTCCACATAAGTTTCAGCTTTTCTGGCCCAGTGGTTCTTGAGAAGAAGATTTTTTAATAACCCCACCCTTTTTTGTCTTTTCTTGATTATCTCCCCTAGTAAGGGGCGTTGGCCCTTCATTTTAAAAATTTAAACTCCCCTTCACCCAAGGATGCTCTGTACCAACTTTGGTTAAAATTGGCTCAGTGGTTCTTGAGAAGAAGTCGAAAATGTGAAAAGTTTACAGATGGACAGACAGACAGACAGACGGACGGACGGACGGATGACGGTCAATAGGTGATCAGAAAAGCTCACAGGTGAGCTAAAAATTGATCGATCGTACCCAAAACAGAACTTAATTGACCTAGATGTTTTTATGATTAATCTGTATACCAAATTTCATTTCGGTACGTGCAACCTCTGCAAAGAAAATGAATGGAAACTGCAAATAATTGGAA